AGTTTTGATGCTCATATTCAGATTGTTTTTTCATGGAGTTTATTGCAGCAGAAGAGGGTCATAGTATGAACCCAGACTGACAACCAGATTATTCAGAAAAGTTTCTTAAAGGGATCCCAATTAGTTGTTAGCAATAGACTCTGAGAAATATTTATTTTAGATGTAAAAACAATACAGTAAAATACTGTAGGCTTTTTGTTTTTAATAACTTTAAATAAAATATTACATGGATGTCGCCATGTTTATGCTGCAATCAATTTTGCATAAATGAACATGCTAGCAGGGCCAACCCAAGCCTGCATGGGGCCCTAAGCGAAATCTGGGTTTGGGACCCTCTATTTCTGCTAATAATGTGGATTGCTGCAATCAACATTCAGAGGATTAGATCATTCACAAATATGTTAAAAAGTTATTGCATTTCTGACAGTGCTGTTCACATTATTTCCTATATGCATGTATGTATAGGACATCAATTTATCTGTGATGATTTTCAGAATTTTCGGAGATCGGCGATCGATCGATACTTGCATATGAAGCCGATCTTATCATTCAATCTTATCTACCTCAGGAAACATCAGCCACTGTCCTCTTCTCCTCTTCCGTAGGGGGAGGTTTGGCTGACAGACCGGCTCACCAGGTTATGTCTACACGATTGCAGTTAACAATAATCACCCCACTGTTGCCTCAGCTACTTTCTTGCTATATTTAGCAACAGATCTGAAGAAAAAATGCTATCAACCAAAATGAAAATCGGCATTTAAGACTTTTTAAACATAAGTAATCTGCGATCGGCCAGAAAACTACAATTGGTGCAGCCCTTCTTAAGATGGAATACATACACACATATTCATGATATACTTTGATTAAAAGGTGCAATTCCAATAGCTAAAAATTAAGTTAGCTATTGGAATTTCTGTGCTTTCAAATAATTCCAGTGTTCCTGGAGAAGTCTCACATAACTTACAAGTTGATGTAAAAATAATGTTTGATATAGCCACATAAATTATCGCACTCAGCAGCAAACAACATATTGCTAAATACAGCTCAGAGAAGCTCACTGATATGTCGATGTAGCAGCTATGTAGGCTGATGTTAAAACATTTTGCTAGACAGTGTCAGACATTGAGAAGCTTTAATTATTATCAAACGCACAGTTTTGAAGCAAAAAAAAAAAATCAGAAACATATAGGGCCAACCAAGAGAATCAACTAATTCAAAGTTAAATCTCAGTTTCACACAAATACAAAGACGGTAGCATTGATATTTGGCTGCTGAATTGGACTGTTCAATGTCGGTATTAAGTTAATTTTCTATTAGCAGTTCTACAAATCTTTTTAATAAACATTACATTACGAAGAGACATGAAAACATACTTTATCTTGATTTTTTTTGTATTATCCATCTTTCTTTTCTTTGTCTCTGAAAGATAAGTTTTGACATTGTTTTCCTTACTTATCTTCCTTTGGTGGTTTGGATACACAGTGCAGATTGCACAGCAGCTCATATCCCAGAGAAGCAATTTATTTTTTCTTTTGCCCACATAAACAATGATTTCTTCATGATCAAATATATATTATTGTAAAAAAAAAAATCACAATTTTACAATGAAATTTTGTGTTTTTGTTCAAATAATCACATAGAAATCATTACTTAAAAAAAAAAAAAGCCGTCAGTTTGCTTATGCTTTGGGTCGGCACTGTAGGCCATTTCCAATTGCATTACCTCTATTAAGCCTTTTAAATTTGAACCACAGCTCGTTGAAATTGATGGCAATGAATAAATCACCAGGGGTAATGAAAATGAAGAGGACCAGAGAAAGGGGAAAGAGTTGGTGTTGGGTTCTGCAGGGAAATGTTTTCTCTACATTTTCAGGGTGGCAGGCTGATGGGATCCACATGGTACTCATCATCTCCAATCAGCAAGCGCCTTAAATAGGAGCGGCTTCCCGGAAGAAGATGCCAGATGGTTCTGCTTCCACAGTGGTACACTCTAGCTCTGTGCTGTGTCTAAAGTGTTTAACTAGTTCCTGACGTCTCTCTCCCATCTCTTCCTTCCTCCTAGAACCAGCTCTGACTGCTCTCCAAGATTCAGATCCACCTGGACTACCTGACCCTCGCTGTTTTGCTAGGCCTAGCCCCAGGATTCCTCCACAACCACCAGCCTGCTACTGCCTGTCCACCCTCAGTTGCCTGCTGGAACTCCTCCTCCTGGAAACCCCTCACTGCCCCAACTGCTGTACCCTCCTCTGCTCACCTGAACCCCCAATCCGTAAGCCCTCATCAGGTTACATCATCATTCCTGTCATTATTCCTCTGTCTAACCGCTCACCCATTTCTCAGTTCCTCCTCTGGCCCGGTTCCTCCCTGCTGCCGCTGATCTGCACCTCTCCATCCATTTATTGTTCAATAAATCTGTTAATCTGCGTTTGGTGTCCGTAGTTGTTGCTTGCCTTAGAGTCCTGGTACCTCACATTATGACAGTTTGCTGCAGAAGCTGGTGTTTGTGCAGCTGATCAACACATACCTCTGGTAGGTCTGTGTGATCCAACTGACGTACTGTGTCAGATCTGGTCTTTGATAGCGCCTGTTTAGGGACTGGTCTTCAGTGCAGTGTTGAGTCCATGGTTTCATATTTGGTACGGGTGGCAATAGCTTTGTTACATTTAAAAGAGGTTCCAGCGTTACTTAACTCTGATGTTTCTCTCAGCGTCTTTCACTTTCTAGCTGGCACGCTGAGTTAAGGCACTTTGGGGATAAAAACTTTAGGCACGGCATTTGTTTTTAGCTTGCAGAGTAACGGCCACCTATTAGATCTTTCATCAATTTGGTTCATACAACTGACTCTTCTGGAAATAAATGTTGAGGGCACAAATGTGGGAAATTGTGTTTGGCAGCAAAAATGCTATTTTCAGAGAAGGAGTTCAATTATCATGCAGTCCAAAAAAAGAAGTGCTGAAATTGCACTTTATTGAAATTTCACAAATCAAATAAAGGTTTCACAAATCCCATACTTGGTTTTAAATATGCTTCTATTAGAGCAGAATAATATGGTCCAGGTGTTGTAGTTTTTAACTAGAGTAGATGAAAGACGATGGTGTCACCTCGCCAGTCAGCTGAGCAAGGACACCTCCATCACGTTTCAACTGAGAAAAGTATTCTACTTTTATTGTCACTTTGAGGAGAAATTTTCAGTAGAAAACTGAGTGAAATAATGCCTCCAACAGGATGCAAGACCAGATGAGGAGTTTGTACGGTAACACTTTATTTGAAGGGGGGTGAATAAGACTGTCATGACACTTTCATAAACATGACATAACACCTGTCATGAACATGAATAAGCCTTCATGAATATTTATGACTGTTGTCATAAAACGTCATTCGGTAAATTGACACTTTTAAATACAAAGTTGACATTATTCAAAATTTCTTTTTTTTATGAAAACTTGACATTAGCCTAGAAATCATTACTGATATAAATTTGTTATAAAAGTATTACTGATTGCACTTTAAAAATTAGGTAACTTTATGTTATTAAAGATAAAATTTAAACAGTAATGATTTCTTAGTTAATGTCAAGTTGTCATAACAAAGACATTTTGAATAATGTCAACTTTGTATTAAAAGTGTCATAATTTACCGAATGACGCTTTATGACAAAAGTCATAAATATTCATGAAGACTTATTCATGTTCATGACAGGTGTTATGTCATGTTTATGACAGTGTCATGACAGTCTTATTCAACCCCCTTCAAATAAAGTGTTACCGTTTGTACTGCTCACTCAAGAGTTACTGAGCCAGCAGAAGAAAATGTACACAGAGTTGCTTCAATGACAACAGGAGAATTTCAAAGGCTTAGTTAAAATCATTATGGACACTACAAACAACAGACTGGACGAGCTGACACAAGAAGTGCAGGACATTAAAACCAGCCTGCAATTTACGCAGAAAGATGTGGATGAAATCAAAGCAGAAAGCATTAAGCACGGTGAACCAGGTAACTCGCTGCAGTCGGATGTATTTAAAGTTTGTGACAGCCTGTTGGCAGTCACCAATAAGATGGAGTGCCTATAGGAACAATCAAAGCTAAACCTTGGCGCAATTAAGGTGCAACCTTAGTTGATAATATTTTTTACAAATGTTCTTGAAAATAGTTTAACTAGTGGAATATTAATAAACGATCATTTACCATTGTTTACAGTCTATGATTGGAACTGGAAAAACACAGCTCAAAACAACAGGTCACAGTACAGATGGGTTAAGCCAGAAGAGTCATTGAAGGCACTAAAAGTCGATTTGATGACATATGATTGGGGATTAATTAATCGAATAAACAATGTGAATTCAGTATATGAAGAATTTTTAAGAATTCTGAAATTATTATATTATATAAAAAAAAACTGTCCAGTTAGGGAAAAAAAAAAGAAAAGCAGGCAAAAAAAAAAGAGTAGTGAAATACAAAAGGAATAAAAAACGCAAGTAAAGAGAAAAACTTTTTAGGGGATTTATAAAACACAGAACTACTGAATCAGAAAACAATATTAGAAATATAAAAAGAAGTTAACTAATATTATAAAGGTATGTAAAAAGGAATATTACTACACATTTTTGGACAGTAATAAAAATTATACTAAGGTGACATGGAACATTTTAAGTATTATTATCAGGAACACTTCTAATAGTAACAATTAGGGCTGAAACGATTCCTCGAATGATTCGAGTACCTCGATTATTAAAATTCCTCAAGGAAAATTTACCTGCCTCGAAGCTTCGTTAATTTGTGTTATTATTTAGCGCACCGTGTTCCAGACGGAACATTATTTGCAGTGCGCGGAGCTCTGACTTCCGCATCCAAGTTGTTGACAAATGCTAAGTGTTAGCGGCATAACATCCGATTTTCAAGTTTGGCCCGTGGGGATTTTATTGATTAGTGATAATGCCCGGGTTTTTATCGTTTTTGGGGGACCAATAGAGCTTTGGAGCTGACGTCACAGCATATGACGTTTACGTCGCTCGGCGCCATTTTTGGTGTCCACAGACCAAAACAAACTAGTCAGAACACCGGTGTTGTCATTGTGTTACCGATCGCAGTGAAGCTGTTTTCAAGTTGGATACTGGATATTCTCGCCCTCCGCGGAGTAAGGGACGTTCAGCTCAAGGTTGATCCGATTTATGAACGCTAATTTCGGCCAGCTGTTCTTTACTGGTCCCTCCTCAAGCGCTCAGAGTTTCACATAGGGACGTCAATTTCCGAACACTCCTGTAAATAAATGCCTTGTCTTGTGACCAGCTGATACAAAAAAGTGGTCATTCATGCTATTACACGAGGCACAAAATTTTAAGTCATATTTAATAATTTTAATATTAAATGTTTTCTTCAGTAGCTTCCAAATCGTGTGCCATTAACTCAATCTGTGTGAAATTGTTCTACTAGACTGCATAGATGAGGCACACTCACCTTTATTACATTTTAACACTTTTTATATATTTTTTTAGCTGTTGCTGTAGTCAAAATTTTGTATTTTTCTTAAATAGCTTCTAGGTCATGTAACCTATTAACTCAAAATCTGTGTGAAA